GGACGTTGGTCGGACCGACCTTGTTAAGCACCAAATTGACACCGGTGCAGCCCGACCCATCAAACTCCCTGCATACCGAGTGGGCGCACCCGAACGCACCCAGATCAAAGAGGCGGTTGGGGTCATGCTTCGCGATAACATAATTCAGCCCTCGGCGAGCCCCTGGTCAGCCCCGGTGGTACTAGTAACGAAAAAGGATGGGTCAACCCGGTTCTGCGTCGATTATCGTAAACTGATCGCAGTCACGCTCGGCGACGCCTTCCCCATACCCCGCATCGACGACACTTTTGACAGCCTCGCCGGAGCGCGATATTTTTCCACCCTCGATCTCGCGTCCGGGTACTGGCAGGTGGAGATGGCGGAGGAGGATCGGCCGAAAACCGCATTCACCACCCCGATGGGACTATTCGAGTTTCGAGTACTCCCGTTCGGACTCACCAATGCACCCGCGACGTTCCAGCGGCTGATGGAGTTGGTGATGCGGGGTTTGCAATGGGAACAGTGCCTGATTTACTTGGACGATGTGATCGTGTTCAGTAGATCTTTGTCTGAGCATTGGTCCAGGCTACGAGAGGTGTTCCAGCGACTGCGAGCGGCTCATCTCAAGCTCAAGCCACGTAAGTGTTACATCGCACAACGCGAGGTGGGGTACCTCGGGCATCGCGTCAGCGAGGCAGGCGTGCGCACCGATCCGGAGAAGGTACGTGCCGTAGTGGAGTGGCCACGGCCAAGGAATCTGACGGAGATCAGATCATTTTTGGGGCTCGCCACCTATTATCGTCGATTTGTAAAGGGATTCAGCGAGATTGCACGCCCCCTCACCCAACTCACCTCCCCTAAGCACCCCTATCAGTGGACGGGGGCCTGCCAGACGGCCTTCACCACTCTCAAAGACCACCTCACCCACGCCCCCACCCTCGCTTTCCCCGATTTTACCACCGATTTTATTTTGGACACCGACGCCTGCAGCAGCGGGCTGGGCGCGGTGTTGTCACAGGTACAGGATGGGACGGAACGAGTCATCGCGTACGCCAGCCGGACCTTGAGTGGGGCCGAGCTGAACTATTGCGTGACCCGCCAAGAGTTGTACGCCGTGATTTTCGCATGCAAACAGTTCCGACCGTATTTGTACGGCAGGAGATGTCGCGTACGCACTGACCATTATGCTCTGCAGTTTCTTCTTACATTCAAGGAGCCGCGGGGGCAGATGGCCCGGTGGTTGGCGCAGTTGCAGGAGTACAACCTGCAAATCGAGTATCGGGCTGGCCGGACGCATGCAAACGCGGACGCCTTGTCGAGGCGACCCACGGTGTACGCCGAGACGAGGGCGGAGGAGGCCTGCCCGTGTTTCACGGGGGGACGCTGCCGGCAGGCAACGGACCCCCGAGAGGCCGCGGCCACTGACCCCCCCCCCCAGCGAGACAGAGTGCAGTGTGCGCCACAGAGGCCCTCACGGGTGGCACTGAAGATCCCGTCGACCGCCCGGCAAGCGCGGGACCCGCGGCTCGGGACCCGATCGGACGGATCCAGGAGGACGTCGGCTGCGCCTTCCCGGGCCTAAACGACAAGCAGCTGAGACAGACCCAGCAGCGAGATCCGGATCTGGCGGCAGTGGAGGCGGCACTGCGGGAGGAAAAGAGCGCCCTACCAGGACCCTGGAGCGGTTTGTATGCCCGGTTGTGTGTGCAGAACGGAGTGGTACGGGAGTTAACCGAGGCCGGCCAGCCGGGGTGCATCTGTGTTCCTGCCCAGGTGCGACCCCAGCTGCTACGGCTGGTGCATGACCACCCACTCGGGGGCCACGATGGGGAACGACGCACTCGAGAGACCCTGCGTCGCCAGTATCTTTGGCCCAAATTGGTACAAGACGTGGCGGCCTGGGTACAGGGCTGCCGCGCCTGTCAGCAGTGCGGGCCGAAACCGGCACGATACCAGGTACCCCTAAGGCCGTTCCGCGTCAGCCGCACGAATCAGCTGGTCGGGATCGATCTACAGGGGCCATTCCCACGATCCCATCGAGGCAACCGGTATATTCTAGTCGCAGTAGAGTATTTCACCCGCTACCCCGTGGCAGTGGCCATCCCTGATAAAACGGCCTTGGTGGTGGCCCGGGCATTCGTGGAACATTACGTACTCAAGCACGGGATCCCAGAACGAGTCCTCACCGACCAGGGTAGCGAGTTCGAGGCCGAGCTGTTCCAGGCACTGTGCCGAGAATTCGGAATCCAGAAGGACCGAACCACAGCGTACCACCCCCAGGCGAATGGTATGGTAGAACGCATGAATCAGACCCTAGCGGGGAAACTCAAACGTATGGCGGCTGCAAATCAACGGGATTGGGACGAACACCTCTCCTACGCCCTTTTCGCCTACGCCACCACCGTACACACGTCGACGGGACAAACCCCGTTTTTAATGATGTTCGGCCGTGAGTCTCGTTTACCCGCAGATCTGCTATTCGGCGTCCCTTCCCCCCAGCCGGAGGAGGGAAGCCGCCCCGTGGAACACCTGTTGGAGACCCTGCGAGAAGCCCGAGGCCGAGCATACCCGCAAGGGGAAGCCGCGCATCGGCGGCAGGAACAGGGCACCCGACCCCGCATGGAACCCCCCTTATTCCTGACAGGCGCTAAAGTGTGGCTACACACTCCTCGCGTCGGGGCCGGGCAGGTGGGGAAACTGACGACCTACTGGCGGGGACCCTGGACCGTGGTGCGGCAGATATCCCCCTGGACGGTACTAATTTATGGCGGGGAGGGGGGTCGAGAGACGGTGGTCAATGTCCGCCGCTTTACCGGAGTACCCGCACCCCTCGTGTTGGGGGGCCTCGCACACTACATGGGCCCCGCCGGACCCCCGAGACGCCCCGATCCAGTCCGGAGACGGCGCGGACGACGGGCCCTAGACCCTTCCGCTGCCGAGTTTGTGCCCCAGCCCACAGGTGCCGGAGGACGGGGAGAGCCGCTGAGTGGAGGAGGAGGCCGCCGCAGGAGCTGCAGAGGACGGAACCACCCGCCCCGAGGCCAGCCACCAGGTCCGGACGGATCCCCCGGACCCCGCAACGTTTCCTCGTGGGCGCGGCCCAAGCGAGGTGCTCCAGTCAACCCGGGACGGGGACTGGCACCTCGGGGGGCTATGTGATGCCGCCGCCACGAAGCCGTTTGGCAGGCGCCAAATCTCCGACCTCGCCACCACCAAGCAACGGAGCCGACCCCTTGTCTCCCTCACCTCACCTCACATGAACACACCCGCACTCATTTCCCCCCCCCCCCCCCCCATAGAGCTCCGAGGGGAGGTCGCCTGGCCGACCGGTTTTTATCCGAGAAACCCTTATCGGGATCAACTCTCACGGTTTCCGGCGATCAGGGAATTGGATGACCTCCCCCGTGCTACGTTGCGCCGCGGCGCTACGACCGGCCTTAATATGGTGTGGTCGCGGCGTGGGGCATTCGGCCACCGCGGTTGAGGCGCATTTCCCCCCACACACGCCGGTATCGACGGGGCAGGCAGAGGGAATAAGCATTGTGATGGAGGAGCATCATTAGAAAACACGCAGCGCATCTGAACTGCATAATCAGGCACCCCCGCACCGGCAGCGGAGGGACGGCATAATTACGCTTGAGCGCGCAGGCCCCATTGTTAGGAAGGGTAAGGGAGTAATTAGGATGTACGCCGCCAACGCCGCTCACTGATTAGCAGATCAAAAGCGCCCAGAACCGCCGTGCGCGGGCTCGGGGTGCACGAGCCCATGGTTCAGCGCAGCATCCCCTTTGAGGTAGGGAGGATAAATAGAGGAGCGCAGAGGGGAAATCGCTCTCTTCTCTCCAGGCCAGCGGATCAGCAGCAGCTCCAGCCAGCGACCCGGACGTCCGTGAGACGCATCGAGGTACGTTGTTAGCGCAGGGAGCAGCGAACCTCCGCGGGCGCCAAACAGTGAGTGGGGAGGTGAAGTAGGATAATAGCCGATAAATAGGGAATAGGTGCCGGTTTAGTGGAATAGGCCAGCCTCGTCGACCCACTGATTCAACATTAGTTACCAGGTAATAAATCATTAATAGCGAAGCGTGGTCTCGCGTGATCTTGTCGTGCAGTGTGAGCGTGTGGGAACGCGTGTGGTACTGTGTGTACGTAAGCTCGCGGCGTGCGTAATCGGCGTACCCCAGGTGCGCGATCATAACGTAAGCGGCCAGCAGGCGGCGAGCGCTGCGCAGAGCGGCGCAAGAGTGGGTATCGCGTGTGGAGCTGTATGCGTGTGTGCGCGCACGTTCACTACGTGTATAATACAGGTGCGCGATCCTAACGTGAGGGGTCTGTATTGAGTGAGTGCCGCGCAGAGCTGTGTGTGGGTGTGCGCGTACGTAATTAACCATGCCTATTACGCGGACCCGCGGGGGAGGGGAATCCTCGAGCGACGGCTCTCACCCCATGGGTGAAGAACCCAACAGCGGTTCGCCTAGTAGCGAGGGGGCGAGTAATGAGGTTAATAATGAGGTTAACACGGCCGTTAGCGGTACAGAGGGAGGGATCTCGGGGGCCAGCGACCCTCACAAGGTGCCACAGGTCGCCTGACTGAGATGAGTGGCCGATGCACCACCTGTACCCCCCTACTGTACCAACTTGCTGTGCTTTATCCACCCGGCGCTGCGCTCGTTGTTGTGAGCGTCTCTCCTTTGCCCTCTGTTGTTGTTGGAGGGCGACTGCCTCCAACTGCCCAGAAGCAGCGTCCTTCACAAGCCTCCTCCACAGCACACACACACGTGCACACACACACACTCCCACGTGCACACACACATGTCCTCGTGTGCACACACACGTGCCCACACACACACGCGTGTCCTCGTGTGCACACACACACACACGCGTGGCCTCGTGTGCACACACACACGTGTGTGTGTCTGTGTGTGCACACACACAGACACACGTGTGCACACACACACGTGTGCCCTCGTGTGCACGCACACACACACAGACACACACAAGTGTCGCCCTGTCCCGTTCCGTACCTGGGCCGCTGCGCTCATTCCTCGTCTGGGCACGGCCCCCGTCAGGCGTCGACCCACCACGCGGAGCGCCACTCGCGACATGTCCTGTGCCTCAAGGGGGTCCCCGGCTCGAGAGGTACGGCTCAGGGGGCTCAGGGGGAGAGAGCTGAGAGGGAGGGAGCTGAGAGGGCTGAGAGCTCTGAGACGCGTGCCCACCGCGGCAGAGTCGTGGCACTGGCTCAGCCTGCAGGGTGCACACGAACCGCACACACACACACACTACTACACACACACACATGCCTTTCCGCTGGCATCACGTGTCAGGCCACACCCCCACTCACACACAGCCACTCACACACTACTACACATACACACACTACTACACACACACTACTATACACACAGCCACTCACACACACACTACTACACATACAACTACACACACAGCCAATCACACACACAACCACTCACACACACACTAATACACATACACACAACCACACACACAACTACACACACACTTACACAACCACACACACACAACCACTCACACACTCACTCACATAACCACTCACGTACACCCCCACTCACACACTATCGGACAATCACTCCCTTCCATACACACACTCATCCAATCACACACACAACCATTCACACGCCCCACTCACACCCCACTCACACAAAACAAAAGATAAAGATCCCCGTGTAGTCGCAACAGACTGTTGGGGCAAGTGCTGTTAGCGAGCACCTATGAAGACCCGCACTGCACACGAGGGGGTGGGTGGCTAGCACCATGCCCGGCCGCCTTTGTCTCCCTAGTGGCGATGTTTACACACCTAGTACTCATTTGGGGCTGAGTCGACCTAGGGGAGGCCCAGGACCGGTTCAGATCACCGTCACTGGTGTTGGTGGCGACACTGCTGACATCATCATGCACACGATCGGCACGTGTCGACACTTCTTATTGCTGCACGGTGCTTCGTTTGTTGTGCTTTTGCAACTTTGATGGCCCAAGGTTACGCTTGAAGAAGAGCCTCAATCCTGGTCGATCGAGTTCTACACCTGGTGGACAATCATACGATTTCACATCTCCCACATTCAACGACAATAAAAACACATCATCCAATCTCCCGGAACGCGCCCCATCTCGTCACATCTTGGCAGGCGAGAGCCGAGCAAGTGCTCGGATGGACGACCCACAGTGCACACAACACGAGCTGCAGGCGCACAGCAGCAGGATACGTCAGTTATACTGCACTTGCTATGCTCTCTATGCTCCCGTGTGCTCCACCAACGCGCACTGGTGAGCTTGAAGTGCTCGGACCCGCAAGGCACGCACAGCGCCGGGTACATCCAGCAGTGGAGAAGGGGTCGTGCACACGTGACTCGTCACGCGCACGCTGCTCCCCTTCCCCTGGTCACCCACTTCTCCCTTTAGCCCCCCGTGACCCCCTCACCACCCCCACCCCTATCCCCCACCCCAGCAGCCCCCACCACTCGTCCGTGCGTAAATTCCGCCACGTAGAGTCATGAGGACCTCTCACTGCCCAAGCGGCGCTTTTACATCGTGCACCCAATAACATGGGTACAGCATGCTTGTGACATGTGTGCAGCATGCTAGTAACATGTGTGCAGCATGCTCGTGGCATTGTGTAACATGCTAGTGACATGTGTGTAACATGCTCGTGACATGTGTGCAACATGCTAGTGACATGTGTGCAGCATGCTAATGACATGTGTGCAGCATGCTCGTGACATGTGTGTAACATGCTAGTAACATGTGTGCAACATGCTAGTGACATGTGCGTAACATGCTTGTGGCATGTGTGCAGCATGCTAGTGACATGTGTGCAACATGCTAGTGACATGTGTGCAACATGCTCGTGACCTGTGTGTAACATGCTAGTGACATGTGTGCAACATGCTTGTGACATGTGTGCAGCATGCTAGTGACATGTGTGCAATATGCTCGTGACATATATGCAACATGCTTGTGACATGTGTGCAGCATGCTAGTGTCATGTGTGCAGCATGCTCGTGACATATGTGCAGCATGCTTGTGACATGTGTGCAACATGCTAGTGACATGTGTGCAACATGCTCGTGACATGTGTGCAGCATGCTTGTGACATGTGTGCAACATGCTAGTGACATGTGTGCAACATTCTAGTGACGTGTGCAACATGCTTGTCTCATGTGTGCAACATGCTTGTCTCATGTGTGCAACATGCTAGTGACATGTGTGCAACATGGTCGTTTCGCACAGCCACGCCTCCTGCTCTCGCTCCTCCGGCTTCTTGTCCGCGTGTTCTGATCACCGCGGCTCGGGCGAGGTGCCAGGTGTGCCTCATGGCTGAGACATTTAAAGGCGACACTCATTAATACAGAACGTCCCCACCAATAGCCGCCTGTCACCACCAAGTGGCTAGGTGCACTTTGAGTGTGAGAGGCTAGCTGCTGGCAGGTCAGAGGACGGACCCAGGTGTTTTGGGTCAACTGGCTGTGGGATAAGTGGTAGATCACACACACACACGCTCTAACATACACATGCAAATACACACAGATTCCCCGGCGTATCCTTTCTACAGACTGCTGCTGATCATTAATGAGCGCTTATTCAGGCCCCAACTCGGGGGTGGTGAGATGAACGAATTCGCTTGGCCGCCTTTATCTCCCCAGTACCGGTGTTTATACACTGTACCAGGTACTCGTTTAAGGCTGAGTCCGACCTAGGGGAGGCACAGGGCAGAATATAATATCACTCGCTGCTGACGTCAGTTTTGGCTGGCAATTGGATTCAGGTCGCCGGGTTCGTCGAGCAGTGTGCCAGCCCCCGTATCACACAAAGACAAAGGTCCCCCGTGTAGTCTCTGCAGACTGTTGGGGTAAGTGCTGTTAGCGAGCCCCTACGAAAGCCGGCACGACGCAGGAGGCAGCACCATTCCCTGCCGCCTTTGTCTCCCTGGTGCTGATGTTTACACGCCACACGAGGTACTCATTCACACTCGCACACACACCACACACACTCACACACCACACACACCACACACACACACCACACACACCACACACACACCACACACATACACACACCACACACACTCACACACACACCACACACACTCACACCACACACACCACACACATACACACACCACACTCACACACACCACACACACACACCACACACTCACACACACACACTCACACACACCACACACACCACACACACACACACACCACACACACTCACACACACCACACACACCACACACGCCACACACACTCACACACCCCACACACAATCAGTCGGTACTGCACATTAAATACCGTTCTCGTGACGAAAAACAAATCAAAATAATAACAGATAAATGTAAACATTTTAAACTCCTATTTTGCCCGTCCAAGCACGGGTGCATTGCAGTCAATCTGAAACTTGCAAGCGAAATGCAGAGCGCGACGTGAGATATTCATCGCATCAATGCGTGTGCAATTAGTAAGGGCGCGGTGACACAGACCTATTGCATGTGAAGGTGATAACCCCTTGTTCATCACGACGTCCTTTTTACTTCGATGTCTCAACAGCGTTAGAGATCACGTGACGTGAGGGTGCTGCCTTGTGAGTGAGGGTTGTGAGTTGACGCCGAGGAGGGGGGAGGAGGCGCCTCGCCCCTCCCCCCTGTGGAGTGACGTCACCCGCTTATTTTACTACAAAGTTTCAAGTATTTTTTATAGTTATAATTACTTTTTATATTTTATAATCATAAGATAATTCAATATAATATAGTATTCTGAACATCTGCAGTTTTAGTTAGACGTTGAATATTTTCAAATGAATTTAATGCTAAATTTTAGCTTTCCAACGCCTTTTTAATACGTGTTTTCTCCTACAACATCAGAGTGCAGCGCCTCATTAAATACGCACTACAATGACAATAGTTTAAAGTGATTTGAAGCATGTTTTATTTTCAAAATGGAAATATGGGTTTGTGACGTCATATTTTTGTGACGTCATATTTGAGGGGGGTCTGACTTTTTGTGACGCCGTGTGACGAGGGGTGGAGGGGGGGTCACAAATCGGCCAAAATCGCGTGACGTCATTTATGGACGGCCCCTAAGAACGTTACAACAACAAACAGTACAAAAACACGATAGGAGTGCAAAGTCCAAGAAAGGTAAACAAATGACGCAAACACAAACAAATACGACACTAAACCATCCCCATCCTACCAGGAAAATCCCACCGAGGTATTGACTTCTTTTTCGGAAGCGACCTGGCCCCAAATCGTAGCTCAACAAAGTGGCTCATCATTTGGATATTTATGGCACCGAAATAAATCAAAATCATCTCAATGCACGTTTGTAATTGTGGAGGGGAAAACCCGCAGGACCCGGCTTGTGGAGGCCTTCATCCAGCAGTGGGTCGATCATGACTCACGACGATAACAACCGCATGGGCTCGCAGCCAATGAGACCCCCGTGTTGCCAGTGCAGAGCAGGAACGGACTGGATTCACCGTTGGGACTCATCAGCGAACCGTGCCCTGTTGCAAAATTGCCAAGCAGAGGCATTCGTGAATGTTTACATTGCAAACAAACACGTGTTTGTCGTTGTTGAGTCAATAACAACGTTTCGGTCCACTGACCTTGAGGAAGATGTATCGTGTTAATAAGTTAACTGCTGAGAGGGACGACCGATATCCACAGCCATCACCCGTGGCGTGATATCCGAATCGGTACTGGACCTCCCGTAGGTCGACTCAGCCTCAAATGATTACCTGGCGCAGCGTGTAAATATCGTGGGGATACAAAGGTGTCCGTGCGGGCGTGGTTCTGGCTACATGGCGCTCGCTAGCAGTGGGCATGCTGCAGGGGTAATATGTAATATGTGTCTTTGTGTTCAGACGTCGCAGGTCGCGACTCGCTGCGACTTGCGGGTTATTTGCTGGCGGGGTTGTTCACCAGACTCTGCCCAAACCACACACACGTGTCACGCAAAGACAAAGATCCCCCGTGTAGCCTTTACAGACTGTTGGGGCAAGTGCGGTTAGCGAGCACCGATGAAGGCCGTAACGCCGCACGAGGGGGTGGGTGGCCAGCACCACGCCCGACCGCCTTTGTCTCCCCAGTGGCGATGCTTGCACATCGCACAGAGTACTCATTTGAGGCCGAGTCGACCGAAGGGGAGGCCCAGGACCGGTTCAGATTATAATCGTCACTGGTGTTGGAAGTCGTCAATTGATGTTGGACTCCAACTCGGGTCGCCGGGTTCGTAGCACGGTGCGCTAACCACTGCGCCACCGCTCCCCATGATCACACACACACACGCGCGCAGACACACACAGGACATCCATTAGCCTTGCAAGGGGAGACCGTCACATTCCAGTGAGCCGCTAACGACGCGATGTTTACACGCGATGTTTACACAGGCAGCCCTTGCCAATCCACTGCTGGATAAGTGCTCGAAAATGCTTCACGGCCACACGCCGGTCAGCGCAGAGACCCTGCAGACTCGATCCATGGGCTTACAGCCCCGTGGGTATCCACTGCACATGTTGCCTTGCCAATATGCTCAAGTCGT